AAAAAAAAAAAAAAAAAAAAAAGCTCCCAAGGCACAGTATAATATGTGAGGAACTCGGCCTATCTGTACAGACCCTATAGCAAAGACCCTAACTTCATTATACTTTATAAATCCCAAAAAGGCCTATTTACCTAGCGACTGTCCAGAAATGTAAGAGTGACACTAACGCCATTGAATTTTAAGAATCTTGTAGCAAAGAAAGCACAAACTTTATAATCATGAGGAAAACTACAAAACTAGTTATTTAACTGAAAAAAACTATGAATATTGTTCATTTTCTTACCTCTGTCAAGAGAATGATGTGATCTCCTTGATGTTTCTCTATCATGCTGTGTGGTATAACATTAAAAGGAAAAACACATTATTGACTAAGCTCCTAAAAGGGACTGTTAACCTACTCTATAGTAATCTAAGACAGTACCCTCCCCTTAATCCCCACTGTTCTCAATGCTAATACATAATACCAGAGTTCTTTGGGTGCCTTGCATAGGTACCTACATCTTACTAGTTCAAAACAAAGCCCCATGTATGTGAGTACCTCATCTTTCCAAACTTACTTCTCTTCTACATTTTATATTTTGGCTAAACACATGGCCAATACACAAGGTCAAAAACTTCAGAGTTCTTTCCTTTGTTTCAGAGGAGGATAATCCAATGCAATCTAGTAATTATTGGGCACATTTCTTGGAACTAAAGTTGACTATTTCTGACCTGAAGAAGTCCAGCTACTTGAATAGACAAACACAACCCAATACAATGAGTTCTGATGAGGAGGTAAGCCTGTCACTATGAGAGAAAGCATTTGTGAAAACCTACACACAAAACTGTCATCATCATCATCATCATCATCATCATCATCATCATCATCATTTTCCTCATCTACCTCAGGAATTTATTCAGTGGCCAAGTCCTGAAACCAACTCTGAGATCCCTCGATTCTGCGGCCTCTAGTTCAACCTCATTGCCACTTCCATAGTTGGGCCCTTGCACTGTTCTCATTTTACAGTCTTAGTGACTGAACACGGGTCCTTTTACCTGCTGGGCAAGTACTCTGCCACTGAACTACTTTCCCAGTCCCTGTATTCTACATCTTTATCTCGACTGTTCCAGAAGACTTGGAACTAAATTTCACTTTTCTCCATTATCCTTTCCACAAACTGCAGCTAGTTTATCATTTTGGAATCCAAATAATTCTTTTTTCCTCCCACATTCCAACTTCCTCCCACATTCCAGCTAAAAAAGCTCCAATGTCTCCATTACTGAGCGGATAAATTTGTGCTTCAGCAAGGTTCTGGCTTCAATCTACTTTTACAGGCTCATCTCCATCTTCTTGGCTCATGCTCCCATACTTCCAGTCTGCAATATTGCCTCAGTGTACCCTTACATAGAAAAACATGGAAAATCTCTACTTACATGTCAAGGTTTAAATCAACTAACCTTCCTTTAGTAAATCCCTGTTAAACCCCACAAGGCAGGACTGGTCTCTATCTTCTGTACTCCCATTGAATTTTATACAAATAAAATCTTTTGGTATATTGTAAGGTTTTTGTTTATGCATGCTTTACCCCTAGATGGTAACTATCTTCCATCTTGCTATCCCCATTGCCCTTTTCCTTTCCTCTTGTTTAGCCCAGGACTTGGCCCACAGTAGCCCGGTTTAAGCTCAGTTCTGCTCTACTAAGCATGAAGCTGACCCAGTATACCTTGCCATGGAGAGGGTAAGACCTGCCTAGGACTCCATAGTCTCTGATTAGACCGTATCAAGTTAAGGAAGGGGCTACCCCATACAAACAAAAACTAGATATATTAGCCATCAATGCAAAACATATGTGACACAACTTTCTACCTTTTGCTCTGTTGTATTTGGTCCGCTCCTCTGTTGAGGTGGTAAACTTGCGGATGTCTTAACAAAAAACTTATGACTTTGAGAATATAGGCTTGATCCTAAAGCAGACCAGAAGAAAATGATATACTTTTGAAAGTTCATTGAATTATAATTGAAGTAGAATAAAGTGCATATATTTAAAATGTGCAATTTCTTCAGTTTTGATATATTAAACTCATGAAACTATCGTCAGAACCAACAAGTGTTTCTATCACAACAAAACGGTTTCTTATGCCGGTGTAACTCACACCTCTCTGTACCCATGTCCTCAGACAACCTGATCCTTCTGTCATTATAAATGACTTTCCATTTATACAATTTTATACAAGAAAATTAGACAGGATACATTTTTTGGGTTTAATTTCACACTGTCACTTGATATTCTTCAATATTTATTTCTGTGTTGATAGTTTATTCTATTTTATTACTGAGTAGTAGACTATTTTATGTATGTCCCACAGTTTATCCACCTACATGTTAAAGGCCATTTTGATGGTTTCCCATTATAGACTACTATAAATAATGCTGTTATAAACACTGGCATATGAGTATTAATATGAACACATAGCTTTGAAACTTTGGGGTATATACCAGATTGTGATGGCTGGATCCTTTGGTAGATTTAAGTTAACTTGCCAAACTCTTTCCCATGGTAACTGTGTCATTCTATATTCCCACCAGCAGATAAGGGAATTTGAGTTGTTTCAGCAATTGCAAATACCTTCATATTGCTTAAGTTTTAACTCATTTATTGTGATTGTGTGTATGATGTTTCTATGTGTTCATGTGTTCTGGAATGTGCACAGAAGTCAGAGGACAGCTCTATGTAGTTGTTCTCCCACGTTCATGTGTTAAGAACTCAGGTCATCTTGCTAGATTCATCATACCTGGTGAATTTAAATTTTACCGTTTTACTGAGCATATAATGATCTCATTGTATAATTTGAGTTTCTTTGATGCCTAAATATGTTGAACAATATTTATGTGCTTATTTGCCTTCTGTATATTTTCTTCATAAAATTTGTTTATACCTTTTTGTATCTTATTGGGTTATTGAAAAATTTACTGTGTATTTTCTATAATTTTCATCTTCCTACAATGAGTGTGCTCTCAATATGGAGATCTGGCTTATCCTGTTTTACTGGGCTTGCGGCCGATGCTTCATTGACATGAAGCAGCCATCGTACAACAGAACTGTTTCAAAATACTGTTCTCTCAGTTTTGATGCTGTAAGACACTGTCCTAGTCATTCATTCATTTTATATATATATATATATATATATATATATATATATATATATATATATATATATATATATATATATACTGTTTGGAGGTAGAGTATGGGTTAGGAAGATTAGAATTTGTGCCATGAAAAATGCCATTCATGTCACATTCAGCACATGTCACCCCAAAATAAGAAGACAATAGTGACGCCTTGCAAGTTATGCAAGTGTCTTTAGAATTACCCTAAATTTTGTTTTCCTTATGTAGCAGTAAGGACTACTTGGCTCAGAAATTTCTCATATAGTATTGTTGTTTTGATGATTTTTTTTTAAAAATTAATGTGTATGAGTGTTTTGCCTGCATGTATGTAAGTGCACCATATTCAGTGTCTGCAAAGACCAGAGAGGATGCCAGGTCCTCTGGAACTGGAGTTACAGATGGTTGTGAGCTGCCATGTGGATGCTGGGAAATAACACAGGTTTCATGAGGGCAGTGAGTACTCTTAATGGCCAAGTCATCCTACCCAGGCCTGTGGTTTGGATCTCAAATTGACCTCAAGACTCAAATGCAGAAGATTGATCATCAGTTGATGGTACTATCTGGAGTGGTGAGGACTGCAGGAGGTGGGAATGAGCTGGAGGCAAGCATGTCCTTGAAGGGTATATTGAGATGCTGGCCCCCATTCCCTATCTTTGCTTCCTGTCTGGTATGAGGAGAACAGGTCCCTCCTCCCTACCCACCATGTTGTACTACCACAAGCTCAAAGAAACAGGTCCAAATGTTCATGAATGGCAACCTCTAAAGCTATGAACCAGACTAAATCTTTCTTCCTACAGATTTATTTTCTCAAATAATTCTGTTCTCTTTTTAAGTGACTTATCTCAAGTGTTTTGTCATAGACTCAGAAAGATGACTAATATGCAGTGTACTGGAGATATGTTTGTTCACCATTAAGAGTTATCGTGGACAGAAAAGAAGGGAGATATAACTTAGGGAAAATTATTAGTGAAATGTCACTCTATTAACAGCACAGAAGTGGTGAGAAGATGGAAGGGTGGTGAGAAAGGGGAGAGTAAAGGTGTCAGTTTGGCTTCTCTCATGGCTTATTCTGAGCCTTGGTTAATGCAGAGAGCAGACAGGAGGGACTACTACTGCTCCACTACTGTTTAAGACTCTAGAATGAGATCTCTTAGGTCATCCCTAGCCTTGACTCCTTGTTACCCAAGGCATGGCTCAACAACCTAGCTGTACAGTGTGGCTGAGCACAAGGCAATCTTTCCAGAGTGTTATTTCCTATGTCATTCTTAGTTCTAGACATTTCTAGTCATGGTATAGCTATGTCTAGAAAGATCTAAGACTTTAACTAGGGAGCTTCCTAGGAGCTACTATGGAGGTGGTCTACCTCGGGTATTATGCTGCTCCTAGCCAGAATTGTCAGGGTATAGAAGAGGGAACATTTAGAAGGCTCCACTCAAACTAGGGAGACAAGAGTATAAATAATGAGCTGGTAGCAGCCTTCATCTGTCAATTTTAACCGGCTGAAGACATTCAGAGTGGCAATAAGGAAGGACATCCTCTGGAAAGGCAGAGGATGTTTCATCCAAATAACCTATTCTGCTTCCCTGGGAACACGGAATCCAGTGGTGCCTTAATTGTAATGTGCATGGGAAGCATGAGGATAGCCTGTTGAAATTTAGTAGGGTGTGATGGGGGCTGGGAATCTGTGGTTACAGTTGCTTCCTGGGTCAGTGCGGCTGATACATAGATGAGTAAGAACAAAAGCCATGCTTCTCATATCCAGAGAACAACTTTGGGGAAGAAGCAGGACAACAGGGAGACTCCATGAAGGTCTGAGGCATTTAGGGAGGCTCCACAATGATAGAATCTCCTGGACTATGGTTAGGAAACTAGGTGACAAATGCAGCAATAAAAAGAAAGACTACATGTAATACGTGGTACTGGTCGTATGGGTGTTCCACAGTCAACCTAAGAAATGGGCAGAAATGTCAAAATGACACCACCATCCTGTGCAATACACAGAGGACATCATCACTAAATCCAGAATTCCCACAAATTAATTTCAAACCATAAAATTTCAATTACGTTTGGATCCCAGAGATTCTTGAGATGATTTTTGGTCAGCGAAGCTTGTTTTCTTTATGTATTGTGGAGGTGCTTTTGAAAAAAGGGAGAGATTTAGTTTTAACAATGGTCATGGCAAATATAAAATAACAAATACTAAAAATGGTGACTGATTGCTACTCAGGCTTTTGGCATAAGACCAGGGAAATAAGAGTAGAGAATAATCCACAGCTTTAGAAATACATGCGTATAAAGCATTTTGCTGCCAGTGATGTGACTTACTACTGTACATCTCAAAACTCAAAGCCAAAGGAAGAAGCACAAGATCCGGAGAGCACATTGGCAGGACTCTTGGTCCTTCTTAGGATCATAGGGCCAGAGGCTTCAAAGACTTCAGTACATCCTTCATTCAGTACTAAAGAAGGATGCTTATGCAAGTGGAACAAAGGACACAGAGGCTATCCCGCTTCCCTGCAGACACAGTGATGGAGTAACTCAGTGGGTGGCAGCATCACAGATGCCATCCCCAGAGGCATAGACTGAAGAACTGCCTCTGGATCCTTTAGGAGTGGGAAACACATCCCAGAAATATGTTCAGAGACAGTGGCTTGGGAGAGTTGTGAGCTGCACAGAGTGGTCTGGTCTGCTGGGGGACGGTGAAGAGAGCAACACCAACTGAGGATCAGGGTGTCTGATCCAGGGGGCAATAAGGACAGTGACGCTTTTCAAAATGTCACACAAACTAAATCATGCAACTGAATTAGAGAGAAGATTTTTTTGTATCATAAGCAGAAGAGATCTTTACCAAATCCAGTATTCCCACACATTGTTAATTTAGAATAATAAAATTTCAATTACTTATTGCATCCATGAGTTGTTGAAATGACCTATCTTCATCAAAACTTGTTTTCTTTACATTTGGTGGAGCTGCTTAAACAAAATAAAAAAGACATTTAATTTTTACAGTGAAAATGACAAAATGATAAAATAACAGATATTCAAAGGGTGACAGACTACTACTGTTGGACTTTTCAAAAGATACCAGGGAAAAGGAGTCGAGAAAACTCTGTTGCTATTGAAATGTGTGTGGCTTGTCAAATATTTTTATTCCCAGTAACACGGCTTTGTCACCCAAGGTCTCAAAAGCACAAAGCTAAAGGTAGGATGGGACTGAGAAAGCACGTTAGCAGAGGTCTTGGTTATTGCTATGCTCATATTACCACAGGCCTCCAGAAGCATCAGTAGACACTCTGTCAGCAACCTGTAAGGAGAGTTTTCCAGGGGGACCGAAAAGACATGGGGGTAAAACCTCCACGGGAAACAAGAGTGGAAAGGCAAGAGCTGGTGGGGGCACCAGCAGACACAGGCTTTTCAGAAAGTCACTGTTCTGAACTGGGCTTTGAGAGTTGTCTACCGGGAAAAGTGGCATATCCCGCTCAAGAGAATATGGGAAGAGGGGCAACAATCAATAATCAGAGGATGTCAGAGAGGGTGTGAACATTGGTAAGCATTGCACTAAATACATCATTTCATGAAAGAGGCTAGAGTTTTTTTTTTCCCCGATTATTAGTAGAAGAGCTCATTACCAAATCCAGTAATTACTAACTTGTTGGAGTTTTTTTTTGTTGTTGTTGGTGGTTTTTGTTTGTTTATTTGTGTTTTGTTTTTTTTTTGTTTTTTTTTTGGTTTTTTGAGACAGGGTTTCTCCATGTAGTTTTGGTGCCTATCCTGGACCTCATTCTGTAGACCAGGCTGGCCTTGAACTCATAGAAATCCACCTGGCTCTGCTTCCCGAGTGCTGGGAGTAAAGGTGTGGGCCACCACCGCCCTGCTTAATTACTAACTTATAATAATAAAATTTCAATTATACTTTAGTTTGACAGGTTCATAATACAATTTCTTGTCTGAAACTTCATCAAACACAAAGAAAATGACAATTGAGTTGATAGTGGAATTGCCCCCATGAGAAAATAGGAGATACTAAAAAGACAACTGACTGCTACTATGTTGGGCTTTTCTAAGATGACTAGTGAGCAAGCCCGAGGAATACTCTGTTGTTGAAGGAGTATATGCGGTAAATAAAGCACCTCTGTTCCCATGCTATAAAAATGCCACTCTATCTAAAAGAGGGGCAGGGTAAGAGAGCACACGGGCAGGGGCCTAGATCCTTCCTGACTTGTAGGGCCCAGGCTTCCAAGACATCACTACTAACTCTGTTCAGTAATATGGTAAGATAGGTTTCCAGATGGATCAAGGACTCAGGGGAACCCCTCCCTGAAAGGTCCAGGTGCGAAGAAAGCGGTGTCAGCAACAGAGGCAGACACTGCATATCAGAAAAGAACAAAGACAAGTCCACAGTAGTGGGAGCTCTGCTTTGAACTGGGCTTGGAGAGTTGTCATCTGAAAAAAAGGCGGGGGGAGGGCTATAATCTCAAGTAGTGTGGCGAGAGCAGCACCTATTGACTGACTGACTGGGGAGCTAACTCAAGGGGCACAAAAGTGGTCACTCTTTCCATAAGCACTATATGGGAAATGCCGTTTCATGGATGACAACAGGATATTAAAGCACAAGAGCCCACTGCCAATCATGAATTAATTAATTTATAATATTTCAATTACATTTTGTTTCCAAATTATCTTCCTTCAGTCTGGGGTCGGTGAAACTTGGTCTCATGGTATTTGGATAGAGATCTTAAAGGAAAAAGAGAAAAAGACATCCATTTCAAAACCGGAAAAGACAAAACAAACAATATTAAAATGACAACTGACTGACCTCCTCTGGGTTTTGCCAATAGTACTTGGGGAACACAAGTGGGAAAAAGCACGGGACAAAATACTTCTGCTGCAAGGGATGTTGACACATGTTAAGGTAGATCTCCAAAGCACCAAGTCAAAGGGAGGGCAGGACTGAGAAAGGACACTGGTTGGGTTGGGGACTCTAAGGCCACATTAGGTTTCCAGAGCCCCAGGCTTCAAGAATATAGTTAGACCTTCTGTCAGCAATAGCAGCCAACTTCACCAGGTAGAAAAAACAAGACAGAGGTAAATTCTTCCTGCCAGGCAGAACTTCTGAACTGCTGGGGTACAGCAGCAGAGGCTCAAGAGCTGCCTCGGTTCTCTTTGGGAGTGAAAATGTAGAACACATGTTCAGTAGCAGGGACTATGGGGAAGGTGGGAGATCATTGTTCTGAACTGAGTTGGAGAGTTGTGTTCAGGAAATGTAGTTTCCCCCACTCTGAGAATGTGGAGAGAGCAACACCAATTGAGTAATTAGGGAGTGTAACCCAGAGGGCAACAGAGAGGGTAGCAGAGTTAGTAAGTGTTTCCCCAATATACCACTTGATATATGATACAGCATTATCTGCATTGTATGCAGTAGAGATCAATAGCAAATCCAGTACTCCCATAAATTACTTATTTCTAAGCAGGAAATTGCAATTACATCTTGCTTCTAGGAGGTCTCCAATGAATTTCTGGTTGATAAAACTTGATCTTTTTGTAGTTGCTGGACCATCTTTAAAAAAAATAGACATCTATTTTTAGCAATGGAATTGGCAAATCCATACAATGACATTATATTAACTTGGCAATTGACTATTTGTCAGCTGGGGTTTTCCAAAAGGACCGGGAGGACAGGAGTGGAGGAACATGCTCCTGCTACAGGGAAGATAGGTAACAAATAACATTTCTGCAACCTTGGAAATGACTGAGAGTAGATCTCAAACCCTCAAAGCCTAGGGCAGACAGAATTAAGCAAGCACATTAGCGGGGGCCTTGATCCTCTACCGTTCCTAGGGGTGTAGGTTTCAGAAACATTAGTAGATCCTCCACTCAACAAGAGCCCCAAACCAACCATCTGGAAGGGGAGTTCTCATGGTTCTCAAAAGCGTTTTGAGGCAAAACCTGCACAGGAGGCAGAGGTGGTGATCAAGGCGTGGCAGTAACAAAGAAGCACTGAAAGAGAATCTCGGGAATCTCATTTATGATAGAAAAGTACCAAGAGGGGTTAAGGAGCAGGGGATCTGGGAAACTCGAGGCTTTGAACTGGGCTTAGAACTACAAAGAGAGGGCTTCCCTACTTAGGGAGTGTGGAAGGAATAACACTGATTGAGAAATTAGGGAATCTAATCCAGAAGGCAGTGGAGATGGTGACATTGTTCACAAGCACTACTGAAACGACATCATCTGACAGAGAAGGGCAAAGGATTTTTTTCTCTTCACTTATCATAAAAGGTTCCCAAGTCTTATAGTCCCACCAATTACTGACTTTCAATCCTATCAGTTCAATTACATTTTTGCTCAGTAGGTTCGTAAAACAATGTCTGCTCGGCAAAACTTGTTTTCTTCATACTGGGATGACGATGATCTGTAAAAATGAAGAGAATTTTTTTAACAGTGGAGGTTGTAGCAGGACAAGCCCACAGGGTCGAGGAAATTGGCTCAGAACAGTAGCCAAGACATGCACATAATGTACTCCTTAAGAGCCAACCTAGAGTCTGCCCTAGGGCCTAGCAACAGGAGCTGTCAGAGTTCCTACAATGTCAGATTTCCTGATCACTGATCAGGTCAAGTCTGTCTGACGACCTAGCAACAGTCGATGTGATGCCTGAGTTCCTGATTATGCCCAGCCAATGAGGGACAACCACACTGACTGGGAGCTGGGAAGAGGATATATAAGGCCTCCCCTGTTATTGAATAAAGGAGTTCGTTATTTGCTCTCAACTGACTCCCAGTGTCTGTGTCATTGACACCGTGCCTTCTCACCCCCTCCCCCAAAGCAGCTGTTAGAATCCAAGCCACAGGAGGTGATGGAATAAAGTGACCAATATTAAAGCCATGGCTACTAACCAGCATTTTCTGAAATGGAAAATAAAGAGTAGGGAAACACCCTAATGTTGCACAAACACATGTTGCAACTAAACCATTTCTGCTGCATGTGATGTCACGTGACAAGTTGCAAGGCAGCAAGCCGAACAAGTATCAGAAGAGTATCTGTTCAGCAACATGAAAGGATAGTTTCCCAGGCAGGTGTGCCCAACCCTCTGATATCATGTCACATTGCTGTTATCTGCAGTATTCATACTTGAGAAATGCAGACTTGTGTAATAAACAATATAGCAAAAAAAAAAACTTTTAATGATTTAAAGTAAGTTTCTAATTTTGTAATGGGCAGCATTCATAACTATCCCTGTCCACAGGAAGGATGCACCTGAGGGGAAGACTGGAGTTTGGGGTAAAATCTGCATGAGAAGCAGAGCTGCTGAGCAAAGTGTGGCTGCAGCAGAGGCACAAGCTGAAGGTCTGCCTCAGAATCACATTGATGATAGAGAAGCACAGAAACAATTCTATAGCAAGGACTATTGGGAATGTCAGGGATATGAAATGGGGCTTGGAGAATTGTCACCCACAAGACAAGACCTCTTTTACTCTGGAACAATGTGGCATCAGCAGCAAGAGAGTAATTAGGGAGTCTAACTCAGAGGGTGACAGAGTAGTGCCACTCTTAGTAAGCAGTACCCCCAAATACCCCATTTTGCATGAGGATAGAGAATTTTTCTACATTATAGTCAGAAAAGATCTTCACATTTCCAAATCCAGAACTCCCACCAATTATTAATTTCTAATGATAAAATTTCAATTACGTTTAGGTTCCATAAATTCGTGAAGGGTCTGCTCATCAGGCAAACTCGATCTCCTTGCACCTGTCGAAGAAACTTAAAAGGGGAAGCATTCATTATTAACAGTGGACAAGAATAAATGATAACATGGCAAATTAAAATGACAGCAAGTACTCAATTGGGCCGACCTAAAAGAACAAGGGGACCATTCTATGACGCAGGAATATAAATGACAAACGAAATATTTCTGATGCCAGTGACATCTTACTGTGTGTCTCAAAGGCTCAATGACAAGGGAAGGTTAGGACTGAGGAAGCACACTGGCAGTGGTCTCGGTCCTTAAGTTCACAGGGACACAGGCTTCAGATGCATGGGGAGAACCTCTATGGAATAATCGGGAAAGACAGTTCTCCAGGTGAAACAAAGGGATCAGAGGCAGAGGGATGCCATCGACACAGGCATACACTGAAGAGCTGTCTCGGGTTCTCACTGGCAGTAGGACAGTACAGAGGCATGTTCAGTAGTGGGACTCATGAGAAAGCCAGGGTCCTCATTGGGGTATGGAGATTTCCCAGTTGCAAAAGGTGGTGTCCCCTGTTCTGGGAATGTGGAGAGAGCACCACTAACAGAGCAAGTAAGGCATTTATTCAGAGGGCAGTGGAGAAGGTGACACAGTTCCTAAGCATTACCCCCAAGGTACCGTTTGATGGGAAGGCATAGAAGATTTCTGCATTATGTGTGGTATTCCCACAAATTATTAATTTCTAATCATAAAATTTCAATTACATTTTGTCTCCAGAAGTTCGTAAAATGAAGATTTCTCTTCGTCAAAACTGGGTTTTGTCGCTTGTGAGGTAGCTTTAAAAAAAAAAAGATAGTTATTTTTGGCAATGGAGATGACAAATTAGAAAAATCACAAACATTAAAAGGATCGTTGACTACTACTCAGTTGTGTTTTCTCTAAAAGGACCACGAAAACAAGAGTGGGCAACCTTCTATTCACGCAGAAATGAACGAGGTGAATAAAGTATACCTAAGGCAAGTGAAAAGATATGTTACTAGAGGTCTCAAGAGCCCAAAGCCGAAGGGAGGGTGGGATTGAGAAGGAAGCACATTGGCAGGACTCTTGGTGTTGGCTAGTCTCACGAGACCACACACTTTAGTCGTACTAAGTTAAGTAGTATCAGAGTTTCCATTCAACAATCTGCACTGTTGTTTGTTGACACAGAGCAAGAGACTTGAAGGTCAAAACCTCCTTGGGAGGCAGAGCTGCTAGAGGAAGGGGTGGCAGCAGCAGAGGCATGTCTGAAAACCTGCCTCGGGATCTTCTCAATAAGGAAAATTATAGAAGCAAGCTCAGTAACAGGCTCTTCGAGGATTCTGAACTGGGCTTGAAGAGGTGGCAGATGCACAGAATGGGCCTCGCTGCTCATGGGAAGAGGAGAAAGCCACATGAACTGAGCAGTTCCAGAGTCTATCCTAGATGGCAATATAGATGGTAGTGCCACTGGCAAACATATCCCCAGGCATCATTTGATAGATGGGAACAGTGGGCTCATCTGCATGTGAAGCAGGAGTGATCATTGACAGGTCTCAAAAATTATTCAATTCCAATCACTACACGATACTTACATTTTGACTCTCTTGATTCTGCCAACTGTCTTTGTTCATCGATCCATGATTCTTGTAATAGTCTTTCGTCAGAGAAACTTGTCCTTAAACTTGATATAGATGCTATAAAAGAGCACATTAAATTTTAACAGTGGTAGCGACAAAATGAGAGAATAACAAATGTTAAAATAACTACTGTTCAATTGTGCCTTCCCAAAAGAAGCAGGAGAACAGTCGTGAGAAACCCTTTGCTAAAGGTATATGGTAAATGAAATATTTCTGCTGCCAGTGGCATGTTACTGTGTGTCTCAAGGGCTCAATGACAAGGGAAGGTTAGGTCTGAGGAAGCACACTGGCAGTGGTCTCGGTCCTTAAGTTCACAGGGACACAGGCTTCAGATGCATGGGGAGAACCTCTATGGAGTAATCTGGAAAGACAGTTCTCCAGGTGAAACAAAGGGATAAGAGGCAGAGGGATGCCATCGACACAGGCATACACTGAAGAGCTGCCTCAGGTTCTCACTGGCAGTAGGACAGTACAGAGGCATGTTCAGTAGTGGGACTCATGAGAAAGCCAGGGTTCGGAATTGGGTTTAGAGAGTTGTCAGGTGCAAAAAGTGGTGCACTCTTCTCTAGGAGTGTGGAGAGAACATAACTGAGTAATTAGGGAGTCTGGCCTGGAGAGTGAGGATGCTGACAGTCATTCGTGAGTGTTCACAAGACACCAGTTGATGGAAGGGGTTAGAGGATTTTTCCACTCATCATTACCAAATCTAGTATTCCCACTAATTACTAATTTCCAATCATAACATGTCAGTTACATTTTCGTTCTAGATGTTCTGGAGACGTGTTCTCCTCAGCCAAACTTGATCTTTTTTGCGTTATTGACGAAGCTTTAAAAAAAAAAAAAAGACATTTATTTTTAACACTGGCGATGACAAAATGATAAAATGTCAAATATTAAAATGACAAGTACTTCTCAGTGGTGCTTTTCCAAAAGGCCCAAGATAACAACAGTGTAGAAAACTCTGGTGTTGGACAAATTCATGTGGCCAATAAAATATATCTGTTCCCAGTTGCATGATATATTACGGTAGGTCTAAATGGACCAAGACCAAAGGGAGGAGGAGACTAAGAAAGCACATTGGCACTGGCTGTAGTGGGTAGCCATTCCAGCTTTGATCTGGAAGTTCCAACCCCCACTGAGGCTTCGGTAACTGTCACGCCTACAAGGCGGGGCCACGAGAGAACTTGGTTCCTGCTCCGTGGATGCTGGAGGTAGACCAAGCAGAGTTCACCAGAGAATACCACTGGACTGTACTACGCCTTTCCCAGACTCTGTAAACTATCCACTCACTTGTAAGTTACCCCACAAAATAAACCTCCCTTTTAACTACATGGAGTGGCCTTAATAATTTCACCAATATCTGGTGCCCAACGTGGGGCATGAACCCTCGACTCTGAGATTAAGAGTCTCATGCTCTACCGACTGAGCTAGCCGGGAGGACTTGACCCTCAGGATGTTAATAGGGCTACACGATGCCGATCTTTCCATAGAACCCCTAGTCAGTAATCTGGATGGGTAGCTCACTAAGCAGAAATAGAACGAGGCAGAGAGGCTGAGCAAGGCCTAGTAGAAGCAGATGAACAGTCTAAGATCTGGTCAGGATCTCACTGATAAGCCAAAGTACAGGGATGAGTTCACTACTAGAGCCTGTGGGGGAAGAGTCAGTGTTGTGAACCACACTTGAGAGATGTAAGCTACACAAAGTGGGCTAGCTCACTCATCAATGTGGAGAGAATAATACAACTGAGTAATGAGGGAGTTAAATCCAATGATCAGTAGATCATGTGGCATGGCTTGTATAAGGAATCTATGCAATACACCATGTGATGGCTAAACACAAAAGATTTATTTGCATCATAAGCAACAGGTATCATGACAAAATCTAGTATGCCTACAAATTTCTATTTTCTAGTTATCATACTTCAAATAAAATTTTGGCTCCAGGCTTTCTTGGAATGCCTCCAGCTCAGTAGCAATGGCATGGGCTCTCTTTGGGTTTGTAACAGAAGCTTAAGAAGTAGAGGAGATTCCGATTCTGATCTTGCCCTGTGTTGCTCAGGCAAGCCTTGAACTAATGATCCTCCTGCCTCAGCCCCCAGAGAAGTGATTACAGGCCCACTATTTTGTCTTTTTGAGAGGACTGTATACTCGAAATCCTTCTGCCATAAGCAGCCATTAGTAGTTCTGAACAAAGGGATCAATGTCACTAACGTAGCCTAGCGTCTGAGGCAGAAGGCCACACTTTGTCACTGAACTGTATTAGGAGCTTCTTAATGACTCATCTGTAAAAATGGCATTCTCTGTCTCATCTCTTCTTGCTCATTGTGTCTCTTCAAACTCGTGTGTGTTTGTGTTTGTGTTTGTGTGTGTGTGTATGTGTGTGTGTATGAATGTGTGCATGTGTGTGTGGTGTGGTGTGGTATGTGTTTATGAATGTGTGCATGTGTGGTGTGTGTGTGTGTGTGTGTGTGTGTGTGTGTGTGTGTGTGTATGTGCGCACTATTACCATTTAAAAGAACTCTTCTTTTCTGCTTCCCCTGTAAAACTTGCTTAATCCTCCCCCGTACTTTTCTCACCTCCCTTTCTCCTTCACTTTCATTTTTCACTCTTTTCAGTCCTATATTTATTTCATTGTTTCCTTCTTTATAGAACTTATTTTGATCTTTCTAGATTTTTATATAATTTGCAGTAGCAATTCTTGAATCTTCCTTGGTATACATATCATTTTATCTATTTCCCCTTATTACTCTTTTTGCTCTCTTCCTTCTTCCTCTACCTCATTTCATGCCTTGTCTTTCAAGATACCTTCTTTTAACCATATACCTATCGTCTATGTATCCATCTATATATGTATGTATGTATGTATGTATGTATAACTATCTATCTATCTATCTATCTATCTATCTATCTATCTATCTATCTATCTATCTATCATCTATCTATCCATATATCTATGATCTATCTATGATCTATCTAACACCTATCGATCTATCTACTATCTATCATATATCTATCACCTATGTACCATCTATCTATCTATCTATCTATCTATCTATCTATCTATCTATCTATCTATCTATTTATCTATCTATCCATCATCTATCTATCTATCTATCTATCTATCTATCTATCTATCTATATCATTTATCTACCTTTATCATCTATCTATGTACTTATCATCTACTTGTCATCCATCTATCAATATCTATCTATCTATCTATCTATCTATCTATCTATCTATCTATCTATCTATCTATCCATCCTCTATCTATTATATATGCATCAGTATCTATCATCTATCATATATGTATCTCTCTCTATCATCTATGTACCTGTGTATCTATCTATCTATCTATCTATCTATCTATCTATCTATCTATCTATCTATCTACGTATCATCTATCTATGTACCTGTCTATCATATCTAACATCTAACTATGATCTATCATCTATATATCTATCATCTATTTATCTATCAAACATTCAATCTACCTATCATCTATTACCTAGCTATCATACATCTATTTATATCTATGATCTATCTATCAACTATGTATCATACATCTATATATACATATATATCATCTATCTATATATCTATTATTTATCATATATCTAACCCTATCTATCCATCATCTCTGTACCTATCTATCCATCATGTATTTATCTATTATATACCTATCTATCATCTATCAATCTATGTATCAATCTATCATCTATCTATCATTTATCTATCAATCTAACAATCAATGTATCATCTATCATCCATGTATCAGTCTCTAAAATCTCAATATATCATCTATCATATGTGTATATCTATCTATCCATCATCTATGCACTTGTCTATCGTCTATTTCTATCTATCTATCATCTGTTTATTCATCATTCAATCAACTTACCTATCTTCTAGCTATCAGCTATCTATCTATCTATGATATATCTATCATCTCTATATCTATCTATCATCTATCTATCCCTATCTATCTATCATCTATCATCTATTTATCGGTCTAACACCTATCTTTCATATATCTATCAATCTATCTCTATCTATCATCTACCTATTACCTACCTTTCATCTATTCATCTATCATTTATAATCTATCTATTATCTCTCTATCGATTTATCATCTATCTATCATCATTCTATCTATCATCTTTCTACCTATTGTCTATTTTTTACCATCTATCTATGTATCTATCATCCATATATCTATCTATTTCTATCTATCATCTATCTATTTATCATCTCTCTATCATCTAAGTATCTATCATCTATCCATCATCTATCATCAATCTATCTATCATCTATCAATCATCTCTCTATTATCTATCATCTATCTATCATCTTTCATTCTATCCACATATTATCTATCCAGCATCTGTCAACTCTCTATCAATATTTCTATCTCTCTATCTAATTATCTATCATTTATCTATCTATCTTTCTATCTCTTCTAGTGGTTCTGTTCCTTTAACCACTCTTTCATCAGGCTATTCAACATGCTTTCCTACTACTTCCAAAACACCAAAATACCTATCTGCTGATGAAACAACAACAGCAAAAACCAGGTTCCCATAAAAAGGGAATGAAAAAATTAAAGAGAAAGACAAGGGGAAGAAAAGAAAGGGAATGAGAGGAATAAGGGCACAGAAGATTGTAAAGAAGACACAAAGGGAAGAACACAACTGAAAGGATAAAAAAGGAAAGATAGTAGTAAAAGAAAAAGAAGGAAGAAAGAAAACACAGAAATGAGATGTCTGGAAAAAGAGTGAACTTTAAAAGAATGAGAGAGTAAGCGAGAGGGCTGTTAGCAGGGCAGGGTAGTCGGGAAGTAAGAGCACAGATAGTGGGAAAACGTAGATTCTAGAGAACTCGGGAAAATGTTAGGGATGATGAATACATGGTGGCCAGACAGGAAAGTGGGAACACAGAGAAAAGAAAAACAAATTGAGTTTTCAAACATGGAAACGGCCAAAGGTTAGTAGTGAAAGATTGTCGGAAGGGAGGTGCTAAATAGCCAGGTGTGGTGCTGCAGGGCTCGAATCCCCAGACTCTGGATGCAGAGATGGAGGTCAGCTTGTTCTACATAGTGAGCTTCAGGCCAGCCAAGGCTACATAGTTAGACCAGGTCTCAAATGGTCATAAACGATAGGTGACAGTTGATTGATAGATGACAGGTGTGTGGGGAAAAACAGAGCTACATTCTGAGCCTATATTTTCTTCTTTTTAAAATGGTGACTGCTTTAAAATTATCCCCCACGAACATAACTATTCTTGCTTTACTTATTGCTTATTCTTTCTCAGTGTCATATTCTCTCTTTGTAAAACTTTCTCACCTGTGGTATGAAAGTGAGAGGAATACTGGGGTTAAAGTTTTAAGCAGGGATAAGGTAGGAGGACAGAAGAGGGATGGAAGTGGGTTAACCAAAAGTCAGGGTGTATGGAGAGTCTCATGGAGACCCACTGCTTTGTAAGCTAATGAAAAATAGATAAATAGATCTTGAAAAAAGGATTTCAAACAGAGGTCCCCTGTATGGTGCCCCACTCAGATATAGATTATTAAGAGAAAATCTCAGTAGCAAGGGCGGGACACTGTTTTTACAATTGGGGTTCACACAACATGAGGAACTGTATTAAAGGACAGCAGCATTAGGAAGGTTGAGACCTACTCCTCTAGGTGGTCCAGGTCGGCTTTGAGCAGGTGATCCTTCTGCTTCAGCTTCCCGTGGTCTGGTATCACAGGTGTGCATCATCATGTACCATGGTGGGCAATCATTGCCTCTTTTCCTGTGTTATTTCCACTGTCTACTCACTTATCTAAT